ATGTAGCAGGAGATACGCGCTTATCTCTATCTCTTCCCCTCTCGATTTGAATGTGCCTTACAGGGGGGTTGGGCTCAGATGCCGCAAAGCACGCGCGCCCCATTTGCCAGTGCATACAGTGTACCTTATTTGCGAGGTAAGCAGTTCATACCCCATCCTTGCACATCGACATCATTCATTCCCATGCCTAGCACCAGCCGTTCCATGATGGACGACCGACGGGAAGGATACTTTCGACGACCGACGGGAAGGATACTTTCGACTGCCTCTTGGGGGCCTCCTTTGGCCTCTGGGGCCTGATGTGGCTTCACGGGCGTTTCTTGGGTTCTTGGGCGCCCGTTGGCGATCTCGGAAGGCTCCCACAGTGAGGAGAACTCGACATCCCCGCTCGCGTTCCCCATCCTGCGCCCGTATTCGGTGCCCTCTCGGGGCTCGCTTGGGCTGCTTTGGGCACTTCTTGGGCCGCCAAGCGTAGCTCGGCCACCACCATGACCGGGGTGCCTGGCTAGGATTAGCCGGACCGAGTTATAAGGTCGAGGCCGGCTCGGGGAGGGTACGCTGGTTGTTCTTCGTGTTTGCTGGTTGGTCTTGTGCATCCTGGGGACGCGTACCCTTGGATGTTCTGATTGCTGTGGCCGATGGCGGGTCCCAGGTGCTCGAGGGATGTGCTTCTGGCCTGCCGTCGACGCGCTCAGTAAGGACGCGCGCCTGCATCTGGGGTGCCCTTGTGTCCCTGACCTCTGCGGCCCGTCCTCTGCAGCTTTCCCTGGTCGCCCGCCGCCCCTTGCGTCCTCACCACCCGCCCTTACCACACGGCTTGACTGTAGTCGGCGTCAGCCCAACTTGCAATGGAGGCCTATGCCAAGAAACACCCTGCTTGACTCCAGGGTGCCCTGGGTTTCTTTGGTTTGAATGGTCTTGCCATGGAAAGCGTGACGCTCTCACACCCAAAATCAAAGGACGTCCTTGGGTCTCAGGGTTGGGTTTCTTGTGGAAGGTTTCTTGTGGTCGAGCCCCTGCTGTACTCGTACTATATGTGCGTCGCCCCCCTAGGGGCGACGCGCGCACCGAGAAATCTTATAGTACATGTGTCGCGGCGGGCGTTTTCTGGCTACACCGCTCGGGCTACGATATGCTGCAAGATGCCTACACCATATGTTCGGGTCGGACGCGCGCCTCCAAGGAAAACCTATGGCACTACAGTGCCGTTTTTTAATGCATGCTCCGCGTGCGGATCATGTATAACAAATGCAGGGATTTAGCACTGAAAACAACGATGCTGAGTTCGTGCATACATTTATATTCATGCATTAGTCATGTAGTAGAAATCCGAGATTGCAAACAAATCCCATGTATTACAAACTGCCCTGTAGTATGTCTCTGCGCGTCACATGCTGTAGGCCCGACTGCACTCGGTGCCCCGCCCCGGCCGGGCGGAGCTGCAGGACCCGCCCCCCGCTCCGCACCGCGCCAGCCCGGCGCGCCATTGCACCCGCGGCTTGTGCGGCACGGCGCCCGAGCGCGGCGCGGCACGGCCCCGTCGCCGCTCTCTGCGCGACGAGCCGCCTCCTGGCATCGGTATCGCTCAGCCAACCCCCATCCCCATCCCCCATCCCCTTCGAGACCCCCTACCAAATCCCCCCCCCCCAGTTGGGGAGACGCCCCTCGAAGACCGAAGGGAACGGCCCATATATCCCCATCTAGGGGGGCAAATCGGCCAGTGGGGCCCAGGCCACGCCGCTGGGGATGGGGATCGGCTCAACGATACTCAGTCTCCCGGCACACTGCGGTACGGCTTTGCGCACACACGACGACACCGCGCCGCGGCACCGCAGTGCAGCACTGCAGAGCATCGCACGCCGACCTCGCGGGCCCGAGCGGGCAGCCACCCGCCGCCCGCCATCACCAAGCACGTCCCACTAGTCGCAAAGTGCCTACTCGTAAACGTCCGAAAAGCACACGTCTGCTTCGATGCAATTTCTCGTAGACCCCCCCGGCGGATCCACGCCACTTTCCGAGTAGTCACTTTGCGAGTAGTGGAACGCTCGTGTCTATGCCAGGAGGGCGCAGTGGGCTCGACGATCCCAGCCGCCGCTGCTGCCAGTGCTCCTGCCGCTGCCCGAGGAGCAGGGCTCGAGAGGGGCGACGGGGGACGGCGGGAGGACCCGCCCTCCGCCCCGTCCTCGATGGGAAGGAGGCGGAGGAGCGCGGTCACGGCGTCGACACTCCAGGCCTCCTAGATTGGGTCGGAGTAGATGGGGTCGGAGGATCGCGCCGCGTCGCCGATGCATCGGCGATGCATCAGCGGTGCGGCTCGATGCGGGGCCAAGTTTTCTCCATGCCGACGTCGCCGATGCATCGCCGACGTCGCCAGGGCATGACCGATGCATCGCCGATGCATCGGCGATACATTGCCGATGCATCGACGATGCGGCGAGATCCTCGGACCCCATCTACTCGGAACCTATCCAGGAGGCCTCCAGACACAGGGACCCGTTCGTGCTCGGGAGGGGTTCTGGTTTCCGCGCCGCTCTTTGAAACTAGGTTTTTTGTTTGGGGGGCGAGCATTCGTGTCCGATGCTCGCCCTGGCCAAAGAAGCCCGTCCGTTCTCTTGCGCGGCGTTCCTTATGGTGGAACCGTGGCTGCAGGAAGAGGAGAAGGAAAAGGAGGAGGATTTTTTTTACATGTCGGAAAAAGGAGGAGGAGGAGGAGGAGGAAAAGGAGGAGGAGGAGGAGGAGGAGGTCGGAGGCCATCCCGGCGAGCGCCGCGAGGGCTCGACGTGCATCCGCGGCGAGCACGACGGGGGGGAGGACTTCTTCATGAAGGGTTGCCTGGACGCTCCGCGTCCCGTGTTGCATGCTGTTGTGTCAGAAGGCCCGAATAATAATAATAGTAATAATAATAATGATAATAATAATGATAATAAGACTAATAATAAAAATACTAATAAGAAGAATAAAAATAAGCAATCGCATAGCCATCGGTAGTTGAAAACATATATTTGACGAACGGGCAACACACCCATACCCATAGGGGGGTTGTTGAGAGGAGGATTGGCCATGGCTATGGGTGCGGGTTGTCGGACCCTGGGGAACGCTCCCGTTCGAGCGGGGACCCCCATCCGGCAACGCGCACCCATAGCCCTCTCCGACCCCCCTATGGGTATGGGTGTGTGTTGTTGGTTCGTCAATATTGTTGGACCCCTCGGTTCCAATCTACTTTCAGTTTCTCCCAAGGGTCGAGCGGTGTTGCCTCTTCCTTCGTCTTCCGGGGGCGGGTAGACATGCGCTAATACTTCTAGCGCCTTCCGACCTCATGCCTCTACCCACTCCTTTGGACCGATGGGGGCACACGCATGTCCGGATGTCCGCGAGAATGTCTTGGATCGGCGTTGCCTCCCCGCCTGACGGCGTCTCCGTTGCCGTCCCCGGCGCGCGTCCGCGCGCCAGGGAGGGGCTGGTCCAGCGCCGATCCAAGACATCTGCTCGGACCTCCGAAAGTTTGCGCTTACTCTAAGCGTCGGGGGTGGGGGCGCCCCCTCCGCCGACAGCCCCACATCGACGCCCGTCGCGGGCAGCCACCGCGCGCCGAAGGCGCTCCGACCCCCGTCGCGGCGCGACGGCGAGGCGAGGTTGACCCCCGTCGGGGGGGCACCCCGCCCAGAGTGCGCAGTTTGTTTGTCCCCACGGGGGACGGGTTTCTTTCGAAGGTTGCGGAGGGCATCCCAAGGGTTCTGATTGCTCGGCTTTTGGGGAGCGGCCTCCACCCGCTCCGTCCCGTCGAGGGCCCTCGGCTCCTCTGGAAGAGGGCCTTGCTGTTTCGGGGGTGCTCGGCGGCAGTCGAGGCTTCCTCCGGCCCTCCGGGGTGTTCGCCATGCGCTCCGGCCCGTCGGAGGCCCTCCCGGGGGGCATTTGGAGTGGTCTCAGAGGACCGCACGAGGCCCATGGCCCGACTTTTTGAGAGTTCCAGTGCCGGTGGCGAAGGGGAGGATGAGAGGCCATCCTCCTGGTCTTGGAGGGAGGAAGCCGTGATGACACACATCCTTTACTATTTCACTTCTCCCCTCCCCCTCGCTGCCACGCCTCATCCCTCAATTATAATTTTCCCTCCTTGTTCGTTACACGTTCATATCACTATCATCATCCCACTTTCTCCCTCATCGCTGTTTCTATTATCACCTAATTCAGGCTCGAAGGATTGAAACTGCCGCACCGTCTTGCGGCGGCGGCCGCCTTGCACGGCGGGGGGCGGGTAGCACCGTCGAGCTTTGCACGGCGACGCGGGTGCTGCCGCAGTGCCAGCCGAGTTCGAGGCGGCCCTCGCGGCCGAAGTAAACTCCTACAGCCCGCTGGATTAAAAAGTTGGCACGGCGGGGTTCGAGAGAGAGAGAGAGAGACGCTGTTGGCCACCCGTTAGGCCATGGGGCCCAGGACAATGTTGGATTTGATGCCGAATTGGCAGTTTCAGACGCATACCTCACCCCCTTGAATATCATAAAGGCCAAATGGGGCCGGCGTCTGAAAGTGGCATTCCGCCTAGGACTTCCTCAAAAAAGTTTCAGATCGCCTTCCAGGGCGATCTGAAATTCTCCCATGCCGTCTGAAAGTGGCGAGTTCGCCTAGGACTTCCTCACAAAAAGTTTCAGATCGATGTTCCGATGTTCATGCCGCCTGAGAGTGGTCGTTTCGCTTAAGACGTCCTCAAACAGCACTTTCAGGTTGCCTTCCATGCCGCCAGAAGACAAAGATTTCGTGTGCGATGATTTCCATAACTTTGTGCTGCAGAGCTCCACGCCCTGCGGAGCCGTTCCGTCATTCGGTTCACGGGCCTGCCTTGGAGTCATCTCGGGATTCATCGACGGTGGAGGCTCGAGGGCCAGTCGACCGGCGAAACCCGCGGGGATCGCCCTCTCGCATAGTGCTGGTCACAATTTTTTAATCCAGAGGGTGGTACAAAGCAGGGCTGGCGCTCCGTTGAGGCTGCGGCGTGGAGGACAAAATGCGGTGCAAGTTATGCCCGTACCGGGCATTCGGCACGAAGCGCCAGCTGATCGAGCACATGAAGTACCACAGCCCGCCTTTCTCTGTTGCTCCCGCTTCTGCCGAAACCACATTTCAGCATCGCGTGGGCCAGGCGTTGCACAGGCAACGCGCGGCGGCCAGCGTCATTGGGCAGGCGGCGCCGGCCAGTGATCTGCTCGAGGCCAGCGCGGAGCGCATCCGGGAGAGGAACAGGAGCGCTTCGGAGGAGGAGGCGCAGGCACTCCAGCGCAGCAGCCAGGTACGCGTCGTTCTCATGTGGACCACCGCTGGGCCCGAATACTTGCTCCGCAGCCTGGCGGGGAAGGCGAACAGGCTCAGCGAGAAGCTGTACTTCACCGGCGAGTTCGAGGACCTCGTTGTTTCGCTCGCACTGCGCAGCCGCGGGCAAGAGGGCCCGATCATCGACGACTTGTGTGCGCGGTGGGCATCAGACCCGCGCGGCTTGCCCTTTGTGTTCTGTCAGAGCCAAACACCCATTCGCGAGTGCATGCGTCACCTCTTCACGCGCGACGGTGGCATCGTTCAGAACGCTCTGCGCGACCTCAAACGCCGCGCCACTGCTCGCGGGGAGTGGGTTGCCATCGGCCACGACGCGACGCACAAGTGTTGCTTGTCCGTCATCGGGCCGGAGAAGACAGGACGGCGGCGACTGGCACAGGGGGCCATGGAACAGGCACAACAGGCCCGTACGGCACACACTTTCATGGGCGTCGCAGGCGCGTGCCCTGGGTTTTCTGTCCAGCGTGGCGAGGGCCCGGAATGCTTTGCATCCGCTTTGCGCGAGGTCCTTTGCGCCTGACATGATCAACCAGGTCCGATTCATCTATTCGGACTCCCCGTCCGAGGTGCTCCTGGATGCGCTTCCGAGCTGCGTCGCCTCCACGGAGGGCATCGTGCGCCGAGTGTTCCGCGCGGACTGCCGCTACAATGTGCGGCGCGCGGCCTGTTCGCGCGAGGTCATGTACATCCAAAAGAAGTTCCTCAACGCTCGTGCGGGCGAGACACCTGATCTGATGGCTGGCATTTACTGCGGGGGAGGCGTCGCCAGCGACGCGTGTGGCGATGCGCCCGTCGCCGGGCACAGATCTGCAGTCGAATGGTCTAACTTCTTGCCCCGCCCCTTCGGCTCGCGCGTAGAATGCGCCAGCGAGCTCAAGCGGGCCCGCGCAGAAGTATCCGGGGGAAGTGCAGCAGAAGGATTTGAAAGGCAGGGCGGCCCTCGATATCCTGCAGGCCGCAACGTCGCACCCGCGTTTCGGACATCTGCAGATCAGCCGCATCATCAGAGCGCTTGTCGGCGGCCGGATCGTAATGACCGGCACAATTGGGAACGAGGCGGAGCACAGGATGTTTACGCGCTGGATGCATTGCGTATACCAGCAATACGCCGATCGGTTGCAGATCGTGATGGAGGCCTGGGGCCGTCCGAGTCAAGTTGGAGTAGACGGGGCCAGAGGGTCGCGCCGCATCGCCGACGCGCCGTCCGCGCAGCGAAAATCCGAACTTTTCAGCCAGACGCCGCTAACGCATCGCCAATGCATCGGCGACGCGGCGCGCCCTTCCGACCCCGTCAACTCCAGCCCCGCTCGGGCGGCATCTGCAGGCGCGCGCGCTGCGCCGCGCGCTGACGAACGCGCGCAAGAACCTCGGCGGCAGCGTCTGCCGCGCGGGCAAGGGCCGGTGCATCCTGAGCATCCAGTCGGGCCTGGTTGCCGGCGGCAGTCTGCGCCGCCCCCCCGGCGCGCCGCCTGCCCCCTCGGCCGCGCTTGGCGGCGCGCCCGTGAACGGGCCGGCGCCGCGCAGGCCCACTGCCCCGGCGCCAGAGGAAGAGGGCGGAGAGCCGCAGGGCGCTCGGGGAGACGCGCCGCGCCGCGCGGCAGAAGGACTTGCGCTGGAGCTGAGCAAGGGCCACGCGACATCTGTCGGCGCAGGGGTGCGGTTGTTGAGCGGGCAGACGGAGCAGCGACGGCAGAATCTGGCGGAGTTCGCATTCCTTCTTCGAGGCCAGGTGTTGGCACATGCTGGCAGATCACTTTTCGAGGCCGCGGCTGGCCCGCGGGGCAGTCTCCATGGCCGCTGTTTTGGAGTCCGTCGGCGGGCCGCGGGGCGCCCTCCAGGGCCGGCAGCGTTCAATTTTGCGCGCGCCCATTTGGGGCCGCGGAACTCTCCAGGGCAGGCGGGGTGATGGCGAACTGCGCTTAATTTTACGCTCACCTTTCGAGCTCCTCGAGGCCGACGGCGTGGCGGGGGAGCCCAGTGCCTTCCAGGACCGGCAGGTTGATGGCAAAATGCGTCAGATTTTGCGCTCGCCCTTCGAGGCCGCGGGCGTAGTGGCCAGGTGCCTTCAGGGCCGGCGGGGCGACGGTAAATTGCATTGGATTTCAAGTTTTTTGGTTTAGGATGGGTTGCGGGCCCCAGGAAGCTTCCAGGGTATCGAAATGTGAGAGCAAACATTGTTTGATTTTGTCGTCACCCCGTTGGCAGTCGTGGCCTTGAGAGGTGATCATAAAGAAAGCGCTTGGTTTTACCATCACTTTGTTAGCCTTCGTGGCCTCGCACGGTGACTGCACAAACCGACTTGACTTGTTATTACCTCATTGGTATCTCCGGCCGTGAATTGTGAATGCACCAACCGCATGTTTTTCATATCACCCCGTCGGCCTTCCGGGCCTTGAAGGGTGATTGCAATCACCGCTGGCTTTTGCCATCACCTCGTTGGCCTTTGTGGCCTCGGCACCGTCGCTTCGACAGATAAGTTAGTTCAAGCACAGTTAATGTTGTCATCGCTGCGGTGAGTGTTAGTTGGTCATAAGAGGGATATGAAGGACGCGTGGCGGTGATATAGATGTGAACGTGTAAAGAACTCGTGGGGACATATGATGGAGGATGAGGAACGGTAGTGGTGAAGGAGAAGTATCACTGTGAATGAGTTAAAGCAGCAGTAGGAACATCACTATGTTATGAACGCACAAACGATAACATACGTGACCGCATGAATGGCTTCTGGTGCGTCAGCACGTGCAACACAAACATGTGATAATATGGCCATTATGGAATACACTACACTACTACTGTCATGCAATAAGAAGTGGCCGAGCACACAAGACATGTATTACGACCATGTTTAATATTCAGAAACTACGAAGGGATCGTAACAGAAAATATGGGGTTGATAAGACATGAAACAATAAGAATGGTAAACTCACGCATGGGATACTGATACGTGTATGACTTCGACGAGCAACATATACTTTTATAGTATCAAAGGACGTAGAAGGGTAGGACTATGTGTTTAAGCGTGGGCAAATAATCGAGCCATATAGCAATGTATGTAGACATGTAAAGAATGCTTGGGGAAGGAAGCAATACACGAACGATGAAGTAAAGAGAGCAATCACATTATAATAAAAGAAAGCAAGCGAGGTACGATACACAAGTGGAGGAGGACGTGAAGGGGAGAGGCAAGTAAACTAGTGAAGGAGTTGTGTGCTTACGGGAGGAGTCCCCCTCCGCGACCATGCAGCGACGGCACGAGCAACACAAGACAAATGACCCACGATGGTTGTCGGCGGCAAGGATCAGTGAGCTGTGGCTTTAGATTGAATCTGCGGGCGTTGGGGGATGGGGAGGAGGAGGAAGCGGAGGAGGAGGAGGAGGACGCATAAGAATAATACTAAGCATAATAATAAGAAGACGAAAAATACGAATCAGACAAACAATAAGAAACATACGAATACGGATATGAACAATAATAATAATGTCAATTATAAGAAGACGCGAACTAATAATCATAATACAAATAATACATCAATAGCAATAGTAATACTAATAGTAATAATAATACTATTACTAATACCAAGAATAGTAGTATGAAAAACTATAAGAAGAATGATACTACGAAGAACCATATTAATAGCAATACGAAGAACCATAAGAATAATGATAAGAAGAAGAGGAGGGGGAGGAGGAGGAGGAGGCGGAGGCGGAGGAGGAGGAGGCGTAAGGAGGAGGCGGAGGCGGAGGCGAGGGGCGGAGGCGGAGGCGGATGCGCAGGAGGAGTGAGCAGGAGGAGAGGAGAGCAGGAGGAGCGGAGGAGCAGGAGGAAGCAGGAGGAGGAGTAGGAGGAGGAGGAGGAGGAGAGAAGGAGGGTCGGAGGCGATGCGGATGCGGAGCGAGGCGAGGCGGAGGAGGAGGAAGCAGGCGGAGCAGGAGAGCAGGAGGAGCAGGAGGAGCAGGAGGAGCAGGAGGAGGAGGAGGAGGAGTAGGAGGCGGAGGCGGCACAAAAAAAAAAAGGAGGAGGCGGAGGCGGAGGCGGAGGCGGAGGGCGGAGGAGGAGGAGCAGGCAGGACAGGAGGAGCAGGAGGAGCAGGAGGAGCAGGAGGAGCAGGAGGAGCAGGAGGAGGAGGAGGAGTGCGAGGCGGAGGCGGAGGCGGAGGCGGAGGCGGAGGCGGAGGCGGAGCGAGGCGGGAAGGCCGGAGGCGGAGCGGAAGCGGAGCGGAGAGGATAGGAGGAAGGAGGAGGAGGAGGATGAGGGGAGGAGAGGAGGCGTGAGGCGGGAGGGGAGGCGTGGCGGAGGCGGAGGCGGAGGCGGAGGCGGAGGCGGATGCGGAGGCGGAGGCGGAGGCGGAGGCGGAGGCGGAGGCGGAGGCGGAGGCGGAGGCGGAGGAGGAGGAGGAGGAGGAGGAGGAGGAGGAGGAGGAGGAGGAGGAGGAGGAGTGGAGTGGAGCAATCGGACGTAGTCCGTTCGGAACCCAGAGATGCCAGGGGGGCCATCCAGTATTTCTCGGAGGGCCGTGGGGGGCGACATCCCACGGCCCACCGCGACAGGCCCCCCTGGCCTCACAATTTACTCGGAGGCAGCTCCCGCCGCGTAGGAACCGATCGCGGCTTCGGCTGCCGAAACGTGCAAAGCCTCTAGCACTGACTTGCTGGGGCCCGATCTGGACGGGTGGAGGCCTCGCCTGATCCTGCTGAGGTTCTCGAGGCCTTTGCCAGTGGGTCCCAGGGCCCTGCGCTCTCCCACTTGGTGGGAGAGAGGGCACGGCAAAAGTAGGCTTTTAACCTGGTGCGTGGCCGTGTGGCCGCACTTAACACAGAAGAACAATTGCCACTTGGGGATGGTGGCCAAAGTGTGGGAGGGGTGGATCAACTTGCCACTGATCACGCGGGGACCCCTCGACCACAGCACCTCTCCACACGCAGCGAACTCGGGAAGGGGGCTAGGCGGCACACACTCAGTGGCGGCAGCTGGAATAACGTGGCAAGCGTCAACGATGACGAGGCAGGCAGGGCATCTCCATTTGTCTGCACACCGCTCGAATTTGTGCTGAGAAGCCGCGATCGCGGTCTGCAACTGAGAGCGCGGGGCTGCCTCCTGGTTGGATTGCCTCTCTGGCCACTGTCCTCGAGGCTCTGAATTCTTGCCTAAAGAACGTAGAATCAGTCGTGCCCTCTGTCGGACGATGGCTGCAATAGCGTCGTATTCATCGGCCCTGGGGACGGGCGGGAGGGCAAGGGTGGCCGACTTGTGGGCCGCGCTTCCCGCGAGCTCGTCGGCATGCTGGTTGCCGAGAGCCAGAAATTTATGGAAACCATGCAACGTGAGGGGATCGGCGTGAGATGGGGTCCAGAGCACCGTGACAGAAGAGCAGCCGCCAGATCGATCTTGCACGAGGTGCCGAATTCTCAGCCAGAGATCCCCATTCTTATTCTTGCCTCTGAGGCTGCCAGGTCTGAGACATCTGCCATTCTGCCAGCCGCGCTGCAGGGCTAGGTGATCAGTAACAAACGTGAAATCTTGCTGGCACGTCTCCAGTGCCAGGCAAAACGCATGTAATTCGCCTCTTGGGACGGTCTGGCGGGGGCCTGGGAGGGGGGCGAGGAGGCCCGCGCGGAGGGTCCAGGAGGCCGAGGGCGGGTCCCATCGGAGGGCCGCGAGGCCAGAACCAACACGGCGTCGCCTGACGTCGTCGGAAAAGGCGCCGCCAGACCCGTCGCCAAAAAGAAACAACTCGTCCTCAGCGTTACGAGCTCCTTCCCACGACGGCAACCCCTCCCGCACCGCACCAACAAACTCCCACCCGTCCCCCCCAGCCAATGGCTCGAACGCGGGCGTAGTGAGAGCGACAGAGGGGATGCCACGGAGCCACAGGGCAGGGTCAGCATTGGCCCCCGCCACGGCTCGCGGTAGTAACTTGTCACTGGCCTCAAACTCAGGTCCCACATTCGCCTCGCACTGCCACATTCGGTGAAACAAGGTTTCAGGAACTCCTGCGCTGCATCGGTCGCAGTTCTTGTCGATCTGGTAGCCCGCGTTGTGGAGGCGGTCTCTGGTCCATTGTCCACCACTGATGACGGTGTTGTTGAGGGCCCAGTCGCTGAAATCACCGTTTGCGAGGAGCCTCCTTTGTTCAATGCGGATGGTGACCATGTCCGCACCTCCAGCCAGCGTGTCACCATGGTCATGCGTAGCGGCCTGGGTCCAGAGGAGCCTGTGCAAATCCTCGCTGAGGTCCTGCAATACTGTGTGGATGTCGGCGTCGAGGAGGTCAGGGTCGTCGGCAGGGGGGAGGTTCCACTCCTCGATGTAGCCGTCCTTCGTGCGTCTCCACGTGGTAGCTGAGGTCGGGTCCCAGCTGGCCTCCAGCAGGGTCGCGATGGCCGCGCCAGTGGGCCCCTTGACCCTGCGCCACAGCTTGGGGCCTGCGGCGAGCAAGGTGGTCTTGATCCTTGGCCATGCTCTGATGATCCTGGCGTGCGTGCTCGGGTGGCGTATCCAGTGCTGCAGCCAAGCCTCGATGAATTCGGCCCTTAGGGAAACTCATGGGTCCATGCCGTCGAAGGTGGCGCCGAGGAGGGAGGTGAGGCATCGGCCCGCTGCTGCTCCCGTGGCCGCAATAGCGGCCTGACGCCGCCATCGTAGTAGAGCGTGCCGAGCGAGGCCGTGCACCTGATGACCGAAAACTCCTTCGGGGAGAGCGCCAGTACGCCACAGTCCTGCTGATATTCGAGCCTGCTGAGCAGTGCTCCGTAGTCGGTGTATCTTGCGAAACCTGGCTGCGGCTGGGCTCTGTCGCTTCCTGGCTTTGGCTTGTACCCGTCGAGTAGCCGCAGCCGCGTCAACTCCGAGGTCGACGGCCGTGGCGGTCGCAGTGACTGGGATGTCGTACTGCCGCAACTTCTTGG